TATATATATATTTCAGAATATATAACATTTTATTTTATTTTTACTGGGTAAAAGATTAATAATTCAAAGAGTAAAGTAATCTACTGTAAGGATGTTATGGAAATGAAAGCACTGATAAGTTTTAATGCCAGGTGTTCCTCTGTGATGTGAAGGTTAATTACAAACACACGTCTGTGAGGTTTAACTTGTGTGTGATATTTGGTCAGATAGGAACATCCTTCAAAAACAGAAGCATGAGATTAACCTCCTAACCCAGATCATTTACAATGATTGCGTATCTTAACACGTTCAGCTCTATTTCAAAACTAAATAAAAGGCCTTTCCACTTCAAACAGCGTGGACTCTGACCTCCGAGTCACAGAGTGGACTAAATGTTGATGGTTTCACAGATAATTGCACCCAGGCAGTGAGTTAGACGTTCGTTTGAAGTGGAGCTGAAGATGCTGGGGAGGTTCATATTAGCCACTCCGCAAAGTGAAATTTCATCAGTTTAATGGGCAGATCTGGAGCAGGAGAGTAGCGGATCACGTGTTCAGGACGGAGTCTTCCTTTCAGCAGCACTGGAGCTTTAGCTGAACTGCAAAGCTGCCCTAAAGCAAGGCATTAAATCACTCACTTCAAGGCTGAGGCTTTAAAAAAAACAACAACCTTCTATTAGGGTTTGATTGCTTCCAAACCTCCTTCCCTAGCTGTGATTGTAAAACAAGTTTCGCCTTGAAATCGCCTGGTATTTTTCCACCGTTTAATACGGTTGTTGATGTTTGACATTTTGGAGGACATTAGGGAGCCGCGGCGTTTCATCTCGAAACTATAAACGATGTCAATTTAATTACAACAGGTCCCGCTGAGAGACAAACTGAAGGGAATAGTCCAACAGTTCTGACACTTGATGACATCTTCAGGTTCGACGTGAGACAGAATTACAGAGACAGAGATGGGATATGTGTGTGTGTGTGTGTGTGTGTGTGTGTGCGTGTGCGTGTGCGTGTGCGTGTGCGTGTGCGTGTGCGTGTGCGTGTGCGTGTGCGTGTGTGTGTGTGTGTGTGTGTGTGTGTTGAAAAAGAGCCAGAGCAGGAACACAGCCCACATGAAGAGCAGTGAGCAACAGGGCAGGCAGAACCAAAGGTCCTTTCCACAGGGGGAGTGATTAAGACGTTACACAAAGCACACAGGGGAGGTAAAGGCCAGGACGAAGACCTCATTACCCATAATGTAGAAGAAGAGGAATTCTCGCCTAACGTACCGTGGAAAACTCACATACAGTGTCATAACGTTATTTAAAATCCCTGAACTGAGCTGAGGGTTGTGGAAAAAAATGAGCAGAATTAGTCTGAATATGAGGTCTTATTTTACTTTAGAAAATTAAAATAAAAAAAGGGAATAAAGGGCAGCATTTAGGAGTTTAAACACCCATTTTTTCAGAAGTTTTTCAACTACAGGATGTCAATGATGAAAAATGCCTGATGCTGGTTGCAATCCACTAATTATTTCCTCACAACACTTAAGACGAGTTGACAGATCTAGTTCTTAACCAGATCTTGTTATATATTTTTAACTTAGAGAAGGATGATACCTTCTTTTTTTTGCCGTGTTGACTCACCACCTGCTCCTCTGCTTGTGTTCATTCGTCTGTTTTTCTCTTTATATTCAAATCATTTCGGATTCCGTGGAGCCCCTGGCATTCCACTCATCATTTTACAGTTTAACACTCCAAGTCTATAAGGTGGTGATAATATCTTATAGTTTGTCAAATGAATGCTGAAAACAGAAAAACAGAGGGATTCCTCTCTTGGAGTTTGACATTATTTGTGTGGCGCTGAACTGAACAAATAAAAGTGCGGTGTCTCTTTAAAACAAGATTCCAGGATGCTTGTGGTAATATTTGTAGGCTTTCACACATTTCAAGGATGAATTCAGCCAAAAAAACCTGGCGAAACCTTGCAGACTGGGCACAGATCCGACCAAATAAATCATTATTGATCATTTACTCGTCTTTTTTTCATAACAAAACAAGGAGCATAGAATCATTTTCATGATTACTGCTTAAAAGATCAAATCTGTTACACACAGACTGGCCTTGTTCTGGTCTTTGGGCGAGCGTTCAGGCTCAGCCAGCCTACCTGGTTGATGATGTAGATGCCGTAGTCGATCTTCTGCCGTCTGAGAATAGGGTGGAGGTAGTGGAGCCAGTACTTCAGGTGATTTTCTCTGTGGCGGAACGGGATGATGATGGCAACCTAAACAACAAAGACAGTTTCACCTTTTTTTTTTTTTTGCCTGTTTGTTTATCTGTAATCTTCTGTAGACAACAGTTGCTAATAATATCTTGTCAACTGATAGATTCCATGTCAGTAAAGATGGCAGAGTGTTTGAGAAAGTAACGTTTCTTAAACTTTAAATGTCAAATGAACAACTCAGATTTTTTGTTCTCTCAGTCCTCGGCTGATTTTGCAAAACAAGCTACAGACTTATGTGTGTGCGCCTGTGGGGGGGGCTTCTCTATAGGGGAGTTCTGTTGCAATAAAGGAGTGATTTTTCTGCAGAAGTGTACAAGTAAGCAAGAGTCAGAAAAGCATCTATAAAAACATCTGAATGCAATTGTATTTTTCTTTCTCCTTTCCCAGCAGAACACTGTGCTGTACGTTACTGAACTGTATTATTCTTTTTAACTGTCAGCGGTCATTATGTTATGGCTTATTGGTGAATATGTATACATGGAGGCAACAACAGCATGTGGTGAATCATTGATCAAATGAAAAAAAAATGTTTCCTCAGTTTTCTGAAAGCAAATAAGGCAGATGGTGGTGGTAGAAGTCTTAAAAAAATAATAAAATCGTAAAAATACTACTTTGCACAAGTAAAACAGTCACTACTGAACACAAGTGCAAGTATTTGGACACAAGATTCAGCTTTCATGATTTCAGCCATGTCATCTGATCTGGTGTCTGGCAGCACGCTGATGGTGTTTTAAAGTTTTAAATTCCAGATGCACCAGAATGCACGTCAATCTCCCACCAGAGCACAGTGTGTTTCTCCAATCAAAGTTGGTACAAAAAGTTCCTACCCTGCACCGTGTTGTCCTCTGACATTTATGTGACAGATGACACATGAGGACAGAGTGTGAGAATCGTGTTGTTTAGGCAGATCAAACGCTTAGTTCAAGTAGAAAACATAAACAAGCAACAACACTTTTATTAAAGCCATAAATCATCAACCTGTAGCTGATTTGAAGATTTTAAAAAAGGTAAAACAAAGCTTATCCTGTGAGAAACAAAGGTGTAGCTGTTTGGGTTAATCGTTGAAAATATCAATGCGCAATTTCATGTGATGTCTTGAGATGTGACACTCAGAGTATATTGTTAATGAGTCTCAGCTACTACCACATCAAATGTTAGCTTAATATCCACAAAACTGACTCTTTAGTAATCTGTTAGTGCTCAGAACGTGTGGACGATATATCTCAGCTGCAAACACCAGATCATATGTCAACAACCATAAAATTGAAAGTAAGTAGTTATCGTTGTGTTTTTACAGTCAGATTAATATGGTATACTAATAGTTAAATTTAGGTTGTTTTTTTTTCTGATACAAGAACATAAACATGCAAACATCCATAAACATAGGGACGTAACAATAGTTGAGGATCAAATAATAATTGATTCTAACTGCTTAAAATGTGAATCAATTCATACAACTGAATGAATAAATTCCATTGTTATTGTGTAACGGTAAGTTATGTCTTTAAGACAAATTCAGTTTGATACTTGATAACCTACTGTTACTAAGACACCAGAGAGTTACCATTTGATACAAGGACAAAAAAGCTGATGTCACAATAAAGAAACATATTTGTTTATAAAATGGCTACAATCCATTTTGTTGAAGAAAAAAAAACATGAAAATATTGTAATCGCGAACTTAAAATTGAATCGGGGCTTGTGTGATTTGCTACATGTAATAAACATTATTGCATTTTAGCAACAACAGTATTCTTTGCAAAGTGACAGCAGGCCTTGGCTTCAACCCATCATGACCCCTAACAGGACAAATAGAGCAGAAAAATGAATAAACTCAGCTTTGACCAAGTTTGACCTTTCGCCAAGGCATTAATTGTTATTATACATGATTTATCATGTTTTATATGTGTGCACTGACAGAGACGATCTTCAGTAAGTGAGAGTTTGTGTAAAATAAACAGAGATGCATTCACAGACCTTCCATCTTGGCCGGCAGTCTGGCGGGGTGTATCGGCCTCCCTCTGTGACGTTTGGGTTTTCTTTCTGCACTCGCTCCATCGTCATCTGGGAACTGAACTCAATCAGCAAACGCCCCACTAAGAAAAAAGACAGAAACAACAAAGCAAATGTGTACAAGAAATCACGGTTTGCAAGGAAACTCTTTGCATAATGCAGCATTTAATACGATGCATAGGCTTTGGAAAACATATAATGTTAACAAAAGACTTTGAAGTCAGTCAGTCAGTATAAATACAACAAAAAAATCTAATTACCCTTCTCAAACATAAAGCCACAGAGTATATTTTATGTCAACAAATCAATTTGAGTTTTGAAATATCAAATCCTTTCTATATGTGTGTGTGTTTGAAAATAATTTGAACAAAGGGTTTGAACCTGCACAATAAATATATTTTTTCTTGGAGAGCCGGTATGATTAAAATGTGGAAGAGAGCATCGCAGCTCCAATCAGATCCCTGAAACCATGACCCTCATGTTTACAAATCAGACTCTGAGCACTCAAAATGTCATCCATTATTCCACGCTTTATTTATTTTTCTTTTTCTTTCTTCCTTATCAGACCAAAAACAACAAAGAAACTCATTTAGAATATTTTAACTTAACAAATATAT